ACAATGACCAATTCCCTTTAAAATCCTTTTCTGGTGTTCAATACAAAGATTTGTACTTACTCCTGTACATTTTGGATCAGGCCTTTAAATCCATGAAATGCATTTTCTAAGGAAAAAAAAGAGTATCCCAGAGCGTAAGGGCAGTTAATAACGCAGCAATGGTCAACAACACCTGGCGTAGTCTGCACCCACACCTGCTCTGTCTCAAAGTTTGACTATTTAAGGATGTGAAATTAAGAATTTCAGAAGTAGCTACAATCTACAGGAATAAATTTGCCTTGGAGGGCTAAAGCCTGGTTCCACTGAAGTCAGTGGCAAAGCAGAAAATAAATTTTTGAAGGTCTCTGCAATGCAGAAGACTAGCAGGGCTGTTATTGAACTTGGCCTCGAGTTTGCATGATAAAGACCTATGTGACAGCTTTGTTTGAGTGTTCTTAAGGTTTAGCTGTCAAGGTGCTGAAAATCCTCAACTGAGGATTGTGACGGAGCACTGACAACACTGAAAGGCAACATATTTGAACCTTTGGTAATCTGCAATGTGACTCTAACTAATCTGAGATTTTTAACACGGTATCTGATTTCCTCCCTCTCCCCCTCCTCGCCTTCCTTGTGCCAGATGAATTAGAGGTGCAACACCTGTCACCAGCACCAGGGAAGCTCTGCGCTCGATTCTCCGAGCTCACAGTGCAGGCACTAAAGAGAAGGAAGGGCATAGTGCAGTGCCAAACGTATGTAATGATAAACAGATCAGAAAGACAAAATGCAGGTGCTGTTTGTACCTGATGTCTGTGTGTCCAGATAAGCTGATTGGTATGGATTTAGTACATAAAAGTATATATTTATATGTACACACATTACGTGGCACACCAGTGTGCTGGTACACAGCGTCTGTGCACTGACGCAGATCACAGATACAGTTCTGTATATTTACTTATTAAATTGTGACATTTACAATTAACCCAAAGTGGTTCTCCACAAACATTCCCTCAAGGTAAACATATGCTATCCCGTAACACAAACTGTCAGAACAAACTAATTTCCCTAATGGTGTTCCAGTGGAAATTAATGTGCTCTTCATAAGTGTATTTGCAGCAGTAGGAAAATTTGTACTTTTACCGGTCTTCTCCTCCAACCTAGACTCAAACAATTTATTCATGACCTTACTATACAGCA